CAGAAGGACCGAAGTACACTGCTGAGGGGAGCAGCGGGTGGCAGGAGAGGTCTGCACGCCATGGTGGGACCCTCCTCAGGAGGCCTGGGAGCAGCCGGGGATCGAACTGTTGCTGCAGAAGCTGCTGGCAGCTTCGCAACCCAGCGCTCACCGCTGTGCCAGCCACCTGGGAGGCCCCCAGGAATGCACTCTTAGGTGCCCTGGGTCTGTGGTCTTGAGCACCCCTCTGGGACTCATCCCCTCCCTGCCCTAGTTACCCAGAACCTTGCCTCTAACTCCACCTCTCCCCAACACAAACTAGCTGAGTCCAGCTATTGGACCCCAGCTGGGAGCAAATGGGTCCTATGAACACACAACTCGTACCATACACAAGGGCACACACTCACGCTCGTCCACACTTGTACCATACACAAACGCACAAACACTCGCGCACACACACACAGAGAAGGATGCCTTCTTAAGCTCTTGACCGAGAGACCATGACTGCCATTTGGAACTACAAGGAGGAAAATGGTCCTCCCCTTTGGTGTCTTCCCAATTCAATCTGTTATAGAACAGGGAGAGGGGCAGCCCAAACCCCGCAAACCTGCCTATTCTACATGGGTTCTGCCATCCGCTGCATCAACACAAAACATAGGAGACTTTAATGGGAAGGAACTTTAATAAAACTAGGAAACAATACAGGTAAGGCCAAGAGTCTAGTTTCTAAATGAAGCATCCAGAGTTACCCGTCCCCTCATGGGTAAAAGTCCATCCAAATGGGATTGGCCCACTCCCTGTTGGCGCAGAGGTTAAGCACTGGGTTGCTAGGCTGCCCACAGCCTTTGCAGCACCGGTTCGATCCTCGGCTGCTGGGCGAGGGTCCCACATGGCGCACAGACCTCTCCTGCCGCCCGCTGCTCCCCTCAGCAGTGTACTTCATCGGTCTGCCTGTTCTGCTGTCCGCTCTGGCTCTGGTGAATTCTCTTACCCTCCCGCGCTTCTGACTACCCGGTGCTTGTATAAACAAACAAACAAATAAACAAACAAATAAATAAATAAATAAATCTTTAAAAAAAAAAACAAAAAAACAAATGGGATTGGCCCAGAACAAGGCCCCAAATCCTGCTACAAGTCTAAAGCATCTTCCAGTGGGGACCCACAGAAAAGGATCAGAAACAACTGGACAAGCCCGGAAGGAAAAGAGCAAAATCAACATCAAGATAAAAGCTGCCATGGTCACCTCCCCACGGGTCTCACCCACATCTGTGTCACCCAGTCCACGACCAAAAGACAAGCGCAGTTTCTTCACGTGTCTCTAGGCTCCATGCGCCTCCTCCAGGTCTCCTTCTGGCTCCATCCTGCTTCCTTCCTCAGTCTCTTCTGCAGCTTCTCCTCCTCCTGCTCAGCTCCACCCTCCCTTGGGTGGGGCAGGGAACCTCCCCCTTTCCTGGGGACCACCCTGTTACACTTCCACCGAGACCCCCCAAGGCCAAGCAATATGATGACAGACTGCTAACTCCCTCGGACCCAACAGAGCCCAGGGATTACTGAGGATGGGACTTTCTTTTTCAGTCATCTGTCCTAGTGCCCAGACTGGGAGCTTCTGAAGGTAGGACTTAAGTCTCTTTTCCTTGTCTCCTGGAGCAGGAGCATTGCCAACCCCTTTCATTTTCTATGCCTCAGTTTCCCCTTTGTGATAGATTTAGAGGTGCAGCACTTGGATTTCCCCTGAAGAAAGAGCTTGCTATTCAGTTGTGAGGAATGCATTGAGCTGACAATCCCTAGCGGCAGCGCCTTCAGGATCCCCCACAGCATTTGAGCTGAGGTCCTGTACTTCCCAGACAGCCTCAGCCACTGACTGAGCACAGGAGGATGTGCAGTCTGTGCCCTGGAGCCCACTGTCAGGCTGGCAGAGGCTCTGGAGATAGACACCACAGTCGGCTTCTCCCTGCCCATCCAGCTTTCTCCTCCATTATCTCTCACAGCATTCCCTAGTCATCTGCACCTCTGGCTCTGCAATCCTATCTCATCTTATTATCTGCTCATCAGCATGACCCACCTACAGCTGGCGCTGTCCCCTCCCCTGCCACATCCCTGCTCTAAGGCCTTGATCTAAGGATCAAGGGACTGCCTAGGCTTTTTCAGAATGGGAACTGGCTTCGTTTCCTCACCTGTCAAGTCAGGACAATGGTCCTTCACCTACTGCATGCTCACAAACTTTTCTCCCTCATGCAGCTGCAGCACCAACAACAGATCCCCTAGGGCTCCCCTCAAACAGTGCTAGTTCTCCTGGAGGGGGACACCCCATGTCTATGTCACTGTGACATCTCCGGAGCCCACAACAGGGCCAGGCCAGAGTAGGTGGTGATCCATGAGGGATGAAGGATGACACTTGACACGTGCTGTTACAGAGGGGGAGGGAGCACAGCTTCTTTAAATGCCTGCCTACTTCCCTCTTGCCCTCCCTCCACCAAAGCACAATTTGGAGTCCACATACATTTTCTCACAGAAAGAACTGGCATCCCCAAAAGGGGTAGCCTGGGGAGGTGGTGAACACATCAGACACCTGGAGCTGCCAGTCTCACTCCAAGCTTGAAGATATAAGATGTAGGTCCCTTCACCTCAGAAGCACAGAGAAAGCAGAGCTTGCCTGTGTCCCTGGCAGCAATGGAGATGACTCTGGAAGGGAAGTCTTAGAACCATGACTCCTAGCAGAGGTCCCAGTCTGGCTTTCAGCCTGCAACCCAAGGCCACACTGTGCTCCCCAGCCCCCCTTATCACTCCACCACAGAAACTCCCACATTGATTTCCTGAGCTGGGAGCCTCAAAGTGGTGAGTGCACGACTCAGGGAAGTAGGGGAAAGCCTGGGGGAGTCAAGGGTGGCACCTCCTGCTGGGCTCTGGCAGGCAGCCAGGAAGCCTGGCAGGTTCTAAATGAGTAACTGCAGATTTATTCCCCACCACCAGGCCTGTCATCACGGGGCATGGCAAGTGACTGCCTCTCTCTCTTCCCCCCTACCTTCTGCACCCCTGTGATTCCTGGCATCCCAGCAGGCCGGTGGGGCTTGGGCCAGAGATGGGACAGGTGCCAGAGTACCAGAAAGAGAGACCGCAGAACAGAATACCCCAGGAAGGAATCGATCCAGGGGACATGAGGACAAAGAGCAGGAGTGGCTGTGACCCCACCCTAAGCCTGGACAGGTGGGCAAAGGCCAACACCAGAGAGACTCATGCTCTGAACTGGGTAGGAGGATGGAAAACAGATTCAAGTCGCTGCTTCCCACCCACTCAGGAAGCTTGTTTTCCCACCTCCTGCCTCTGACATCCACCCCTCCCCAGCCCAGGAGTCTTCCCAGATCATCGGATAATTGAAAGGGTGGCTTCCTTATCAGATCCCACAGGACAACCCTGCCAAGGCTGGACCTCTAACTGATTTCCCTACTGCTCAAAACCAGGACTGGACCTGCAGGAACAATTAGTTGAAATGCAATCAGATTTAGCCTGGGTTGAATTTTTTAGGTTATTTTTTTGTTTGTGTTTGTTTGTTTTGTTATTTTCTGGTTTCTGCTCCTTCTTTTACTTCTGAATTTGTTTTCTGCCTTTTGATAGGCGAGGAAGGGTGGGTCTACCAAGGGAACAGTTCTGAAAGAACAAAAGTAATTTTCATTTCAAGGAGTCTGCCGAAAACTATTTTCCCTCAGCACCTTCCTGGGACTCTGGGAACGGCAAGGGCATAATAGATGCCATGCCAGTCACTCTTCCTGCCCCCAGCCTGCCCGCGGGGCCACGAGCTAAGGAGGGGCTTCTCGTGGAGTGCCCTCCAGAACTAGGGAGAGACAGCCTGCCCATCCTGTGCTGGCAGCCTAAAATGTTCTGCTCTTCTCCCTTCCTATCAACCATGTGTTGGACCTGGCTTAAAGGTCATATGGCAAAGTGGGATCTGGTTCCCTCCTTTTCCCCAGTCCTTCCCTGCTCCATGCACTGGCCATTGCCGAAGACCCCTGTCTTCAGAGGGAACAGAACTTCAACAGGCCAGGGACAAGCATTAATGGTGAGATGTCATTGTTCTGCAGCTGGCTGAGCAGGTAGTGAGAGTGGAAAGGCAGAGGAGAAAGCAAATGCTAGACCCCAAAGAAGCCCAAATGGAGGAGAGGTTGTGTGCTCATCCCTTGCAGGCTTTCCCCGGACTCCCCAGAACTCCACCTCACCCCAGGTCAGCGGCCGGCGCTGTGGTGAGGGAAGTCCTGTTGGGTCCACACCTGTTGGTGAGCCAGCGCCTAGGATTCGAGAACCTTTTAAGCGGCTGCTCATGCACGCCAAGTGTAGGGGGACCTGCATCCCTCTCCCCATCCACTGAACACCTCCCGTCCCCAGCCCCCTACCATCTTTACCCACCACTAGCCCCATCCCCCCCGCCCCTACAGCCACCTCCGCCCCTCAACTATCCGGTCTCCAGCACCCCGACAGAGGGCATTGCTGTCACTTGCGCTTGGACCTCAAGTCCAAGAGCTACCGGAAAACGCAGCCTGGGAACCCGCACCTCATTTCAGTGACAAGTAAACCGAGCTCTGTGTCCGGGAGAAGGGGATGGAGTGTGGGGGCGACAGGCTGACCCGAAGTCGCCCAGAAGCCCATCCGCCGAACCTTGGAAGTTGGGCCCTCGAGGCAGGTGGCCCAGGTCCTGGCCCTTCTCTGGACCTCAGTTTCTCCGCTTGTAAAACAGGGAAGGCAGGAGGCAGAGGGAGGTCTCCGGCTGGTCTTGGGTTCTGAGCTCACCAGGGGCCAGTGCGCTGGGAACAGAACTTCCCTGCCCGCTTGAGGGCGCTGGCGCTTCGGCCCAGCCTCCCACTCCAGGGGCCGGGACCCAGACACAGGAGGATGAAAACGCTCCAGCCCGTCTGGAGCGCGGCCTCCTCCAGCCTGACAGGGCTGGGAAGCCCAGCCGGTGCCGAGCGCGCCCTGCCAGGTCGCCTAAGCGCAGGGGCGGCACCGAGTGACCCAGAGTCTGGCCTTACTCGCGCGGGTGCTTCCCCGAGTGGCGGCGATTGAAAAATGGATCAAACTACGCGTCCCCACTCGCCCCCGGTGGCTTCCAGCCCAACAACGTGCGCAAAGCGCATCCGGTGAGATAAGAAGGGACAAATCCTGTCTCCAGCCCTCCACACCCTCCAGCCTAGGCGCAGGGGTGGGACATGCAGAGGCTGCTGGAGGCCTCCTGGAGGAGGCGGCTCTGAGGGTGGACGCGACAGCGCCCCGGAGTTGAGTCGAAGGGGCGTGCGGGGGTGGGAGACCGCAGCCGAGCTCTTCCAGACGTCGTGAGCCAAGCTGGGAAAGGCAGGGCGTGTTAGAGGATCAAGACTCCGGGGGCGCGGACAAGGGGCAGCGCTCGGTCACCTCCTCACTGCCGAGGGCTGACTTGGGGGGTTGGCCAGCGCGCACCAGCGCTCCACGCTGCCAGGGTCGCCCCGGCCCCGCCCCACACCTGCGCGGCGGCCCCGCCCCTAGGATCCATTGGCTAGACCTGCCGTCCGTCAGGCGAGCCCCCGGGGCCCGCCCCCAGCCCGGAGCGGCGCGTCCTCCGTCCGGGGCCACCGCGGCGACACCTCCTCGCCAGGCTCGCGCGGTCCACAGCGCGGTGCGCTGCCCCTGCGCGCACTGTCCGCGCGGGCCGCCCGCCGCGGGCTCGGGGCCGACCATGCGCCCGCCCAGCCGGCTGCCGAGCCTGCTGCCGACCCTCTGGCTGTGCGTGTTGGCAGGAGTCCTCGCCTGCGCTCTCGGCCCCTCGGTGAGTGTCCGCCCCGCCGCCCAGGGTCTTTGTAACTAGGAGCGGTGCGGGGCGGTGGGATCCGGCCGTCTGGCCTTACGTCTGTGCGAGGGGAATAAGACCCGTCTGGTCTCCCCAACTCCGCCTCGGGCCGAGTCTCCACCCGCGGAGTGGGGTCTAGAGCGTGCCCAGTCCCTCCCAGTGCAGCCTGGAGCGCATCCAGTTCCGTGCGGGAGCCGGGGGAGAGAGTCTCTAGGCTTGCCTTCCGCACGCTATGGGCGTGCGGGGTGCGTAGGTGGCGTGGTTACTGGTTGCAGGGTGGGCTAGGTGTGGTAGACCGTGGGTGGGAGGCTGGGGGTTATCTGTGCGCCGTGCGCCTCTGGAGGTGTCCAGGCATTGTGTATCCTGCACGTGGGAGAGTGAGGGTCCTGCCAGGAGACACAGTGCTGGGGGCCCAGGGACCTGGAAGGGGCGTTTGGGATCAGGTGGGTGACAAGCTGTTCCCCCCTGTGTCCTCCCACTAAGCAGAGCTGAAAGGCATGGAGGCCATGGAGGGTGGCGAGCAGTGAGGCGCTGGTGTGTTTATCAGGAAGACATGTGCATGGGAAAACTGAGCAGGGTGCCAACAACCAGCAGACAGTGGTTTCCCTCTTGTTCCCATTTCTTCTTCATCCCCACATGGGACCGTGTATGCCCTGATTTATGTGTGTCAGTGTGCCCCAAGTGTATTTGTGTCCGTGTGTTTCTGTGTCTCAGTCTCCCCTGGGCTGCAGGGCAGATAGATCCTGGTTGACACGGGCGCTGCATGGATCATCTCCCTCTCCGTGCAGGGAAGACATTAAGACTTAGTGGGTCTACCCAAGCCCATTTTACAGATGGGCAAAATGAGGCCCACCAACACCCGGAGCCACACCTATCCAGTCACACCTGAACAGCAGTTGATTTTCCTCCTACCCGGCACTTGAGGAATCTAGAGTTCCTGCTTGGGTGTGGCCTAAAACCCTAGGGTTGCATGTCAGTGATCAGTTCCAGGTGGGAGAGTAGAGTGGCTTGATGATCTGTTCGCCTCTCTCCTGTGATTACCTCCCTGGCCATCACCTCCACCGGGACAGGAATCTGTTTCTATCTAGCTGATGTCTGACACACCTTTGGCAGAGGTAGCTTATTGCTTGTCCTGGGAGCAGACCTTACAACCGTAGGCAGGAGCCTCCTCCTCTTCTCCCTTTGATAGCCATGAGAACCACCTCCTGAGCACTCAAAGCTTCACTGAGTTCTAGCCCCAAGTCTGTCACTCTGGCACCACTTACACATGTACCCTCAGTGTCACAGAGCCCCCAGGTCTCACTAACAACTCTCTGATCACCCAATTCTGGACGTTGATCACTCAAACTCTCCTTGGGTTACCAGGGATCTTGAGACCAACACTGGCACCCCTGAATACTCCTCCTCCCTGAAGACTCTCAGCCCAAGGGCAGAGTGGTTTCAGTGGGGCTTCCTCTCATTCTAGGCCATACCTGCCCCCACTTTCTGAGGCAGTCAAGCCTGGCTCCTCTAGTGCCTCCCCTGTCTTTCCAGAACTTACTCATTTAGTACCTATCTCCAGCACCTCCCTAAGCAGCTTGCCCTGATTGCTCCAGCCCATTTGGTCCTCCCCATTCTGACCCCACCCTTCAGCCCTACTCACCTCCCTGCCCAGGCTCTTCTGACCATCCCATGGAACCAACGGCTAAGGTTTCTCACCTCTCACACTCCCCACAGCCCAGAGCAGGATGGGGCCCACAGAGAGGAGAAGTCACGCAGCCTTGACTGGTAAAGGCAAGGGTTGAGCAACATCATCTCCCTCTTTACTTCTCCCTCCTCCCTACTGGCCACGATTTGCTTTCTCACTGAATGTACACCTAGCCATCCTGCTCCAGCAAGTGGGGGGGGGGGAAGGGAGGGGGAGGAAAGGTGTGCAAATGTTATCAGAGCCATAAAGTGGCAGCTGCAAAGTTCAGTTTGAAGGCCCCGGGCTTATCACTCCCGTATATGATGCCCTGACCTCAGCCAGGGAAAGGGAAATCTCTGAACAGGGAAGTAAAAAAAGGAAAGAAAACCTCCAGTGTCTCAGAAGAGGAAGTCTGCCCCAGGGCGATTCATCAGGACTTCCACTGCCCTGCCCCCAACACCAGGCATAAAAGCTCATCCCCGGTAGCAGAACCACTCAGGGCAATGCTCATAGAGGAGGAGAGACCCAGGCCCTGCCCTGGAAAGGTTGTCAGGCTGGTGGGGGGAGAAAAGACCTGTGCCCCAGGAGGAAGAGACCAGGAGGGTGTGGGCCTCCCCAAACTGGAGCAAGGGTTTGCAGAGAGGAGCTGTCAGGGAAGGCTCCCTGGAGGAGGCAAAACAATGCCCTGAAGAGTTCAGCCAAATGGACGCAACCTTCCATTCAGATTATAAAACAGCCTCCACCGGCCAGATCAATGGACCTGACCCCCAGAAAGAAGAGGAATCTTCCAGCTCCCCCCACCCCCTACCCCAGAAACCGGGATGGCCCAGGGGTGAGTGAGGCTATCTAACTCACTGAGGTGATTGCCTGTCAGCAGCTCCTGAAGGCCTGACTTACATAGACCTCCTGCCTGGCCACCTGCTCTCAACCTCTCCAGAGCTTGTCCACAGCAGCCTAAGCCTCTTGTGCCCCAGCAGGCCATCCTGCGGGCTTTAGGAGGCATGGCTGCTGTAAAGTGAGGTCTCCTCAAGTGAAGTGATCAACCCAGTTAGGCCTGCCCAGTGCTCCAGGGGACTGTGCTGGAAGGGCAAACTCCCATGACAGATGTCTACCCACCATCCTGGTGCCCCGAGATTTGGCCTTCCCTGAGATTTCGGGATCTTCCACGAGGAGTTCCAAGCTGAGGTCCAGAGGCCTGGCCCTCCCCACTCCAAGGCAACAGCCAGTTGATTGTGAGACTATCTCTAATTTCTCTGGAAGAGCCTCAGTTTCCTCATCAAGAAAATGATGAAGGAGGGAGATGGGAGGTGAGAAGGAAGGAGGGAGGTGAGAACCCTTGGCCCCCCGCACAGGGGACCTGGGAAGAGAGACTGAGCTGGAGACCAGCTCCACCCCTGACTGGGGCAGAATCTCTGCCTTAAGCCTCCTGACTTGTCTTCCGGCCAGGATTCTGTGAGGTTAAGACGTGAACGTGCTGCGGAAACTGTGTGACCGTCATTCCTTCCCCTTGATCCCTTAAAACTCTGGACATCATGAACTTTTATCCCTTGATACCCAGGGGTCCCTCAGACAGGCAGGAGTCCTGGGGATGGAGAGGAAGTGTCCTCAAGAGGTGACCGGCCAACTCGAGGGGTGAGGCTTCAGTGGGCAGCCTCAGTGGCAACCGCAGAGGCTGAGACTGCCTCTCACGTGGCCGCTCTCAGATGCAGCCAGGGCATCAGAGGAAGCCCCGTCCCTTTCCCCACTTCTCCTCGACCTCCCAGACTGCCCTGTTTGACTTTCTAATGCAAAGCCATTCTCGTGGCACCCGGGATGACGCACCACACAGGTCAATCATCATATATCTCAGGCTTATTTCAGAGACAAAGGGACACAGTTTAAGCACATTGGAAATTTTATTGTGAAAACTTTCAAACACACAGAAAAAAACTCAGGAGAATAGTATGATAAATAGTATGATAAGTACCCATTCCTTGGAGCAATGTCAACAAAATGGCGGTATAGGAACTTCTAGCCCTCATTCCTTTCCAACTCCCAGGTTTGACAAATGATAACCTTTATTTATTTGCATCATTTGCTTTTTTTTAAGATTTATTTATTTATTTATTTATACAAGCACTGGGTACAGTCAGAAGCGCGGGAGGGTGAGCGAATTCACCAGAGCCAGAGCGGGGAGCAGAGCAGGCAGAAGGACCGAAGTACACTGCTGAGGGGAGCAGCGGGCAGCAGGAGAGGTCTGCGCGCCATGTGGGACCCTCCTCCGGTGGCCGGGGAGCAGCCCGGAGAGGGGGGTGCGGGGGGGGTCGTATCGAACCAGTGCTGCAGAGGAGAGGTCTGCGCACCATATGGGACCCTTCTCCGGTGGCCAGGGAGCAGCCAGGGGGGATCGAACCAGTGCTGCAGAGGCTGCGGGCAGCTTCGCAACCCAGCACTCAACCGCTGCGCCACCAGGGAGGCCCTGCATCATTTGCTTTTTTGAATGAAGTGCTCTAGACATCATGAGCTTTTATCTCAAAGTATTGTAAAACGTGTCTAAAACTAAAGGATGTTTTCCTAACTACAATGCCATGGTCACACCAAACAAAAATCAACAGAGATCCCTTCACATCCAACCTTCAAATATCCCCAAGCAGCATTTAATCAATCAGCCC